TATTAAGCTTGAATTCCAATGAGAAAGACATAGCGTGTTGATTCCTAAGAAAGTAAAGATCCTTTGTATCGTTTGATAGAACAAGTATCAGATTTTGCTTTTGTAACTAAAATCAGTTAGATAAAAGGACATTTTTCAGTTTGTATTTCTAATTAAAAATCTATACGCGCCTCTGTTAGTCATTATTTATAGAACATAAATATTCCGAATTGATCATTTTAATTCGAAACGCACAGAATGAATTCAGGGTTTTCACATTTTCTCTAATTCAGTTTTCACTTGCATATTCAAACGAGCGTACAACTGAAAACCACAATAGAACGAAGCTGAACATTTCAACCGCGCGCATTCGGACAGCTGAGCCTGATTATCCGCACAATGGACAACAAACAAACACTGGTACAGAGGCAGACACAATTCCATTACTATGAAATCTTTAATAATTTATTTCACAAAATATGTACATATTTGTTAAAATACGGTGAAAGCTTCAGTAGCAATAGCATTCAGTATTTTTAAAATGAAGGCGTTTAATTTTTTTTTATTGCCCTTGTAGGCAGACGAGCATACGGCCCACCTGATGGTGAGTGGTTACTGTCGCCCATAGACTTCAGCAATGCCAGGGGCAGAGCCGAGCCGCTGCCTACCGCTTAATACTCTCCACAAGCCTCGTTTGAAGAAGGACATGTCATAGCGCTCGGGAAACACCGTGGAGGGGAGCTCATTGCATAGCCGGATGGTACGTGGCAAATACCTCTGGAAGACCTCTAGAAACGCAATGTGGATGACCGCGGTGGCTCCAGGTAGTATGGATGAACTCTACTCCGGTGGCGGGCGGTGCGATGGTAAAAACGAGATGCCGGTATCATCTCGAACAATTCCTCAGAGCACTCCCCATGGAACATACGGTACAAAATACAAAGGGAATCGGAATCCCTCCGGAGACCCAGAGGTTCCAAACGATCCGTGAAAGTGAGATTATCGACAATCCGAACGGCCCTCTTCTGTATGGAGTCAAATGGAAGAAGCTGGTATTTGGGAGCTCCGGCCCAGAGATGGGAGCAGTGCTGCACGCGAGGCTGGACTTGTAAAGCAAAAGTATTTGTCCAGGCGTGATGTAGCGCTTCGCTCTGTTAAGTACTCCTAGCATTTTGGAAGCCAACTTGGATTTGTCGTCCAAGTGACTCCGAAATTGTACACCGCTCGAAATGTCGACCACAAGTATCCCAAGTATCTCGATAAGTGAACAATATTTTTATTTATTAAAAAAATATACAGTTTCCAGTTTCCGCAATGTAACGTCATTAAATCGGGTACATGCGGTGCCCACATTATTCTTGAATGTGGAGGTAGCGCGTTTTGAAACGAACCTAATGAAATTTTAACTTACTAAGACTACAAATATTATTCCTGGACTATATTAGATTGGTCACGTTGAATACAGGTGGCAAGGGACCGGTCGCACTGGATATCAATATTTACGGAGATATGTATGTGTACATACATGTATATGTATTTCACTGGAATGGTACAACGCGCGTAGTTCGTTTCCAAATGATTCTTGTCCACCTGATGGTTGTCTGGAAGAGATCGCTCTTAGCGATAAGACCGCCAATTGTACTTTTTTGTTTTTAATGTATCGCACTGTTTATTTGTTTTTTGGTGTACATAATAAATAATACTCTCTCTCTCTCTCTCTCTCTCTCTCTCTCTCTCTCTCTCTCTCTCTCTCTCAATTGGAGAGGCCTATGTTCAACACTGGACAGTGTACAGGCTGAGATGATGATGATTAGATAGATAGCAGCTATTCGATGCAACTTTGCCATTTTACGCATAATCATATTATTTTAATGCAACAGTTGCGCGGTGCTTAAAGACCGCTTTTCGCCCTTTTAAATTCAGATATAGAAACTATATATTAAATACGTGAAGCAAAAACTTTGTACCCCTTTTTACGAAAAAACGCGGACGGAGGAGTATAAAATTTCCAATACTTATAGAGAATATACAGGAGTGCGCAATGCTAATACTTTTTTAAAATAATGCATTAATAATACATTATACTATATAAAAAAAACATTACACACACTACCATGTATTTGACACACACATACACACATATATATCTACTATTATCTACTATACTATACTCTTTGTTTACTGTCAAACTTTTGTTATTGCTTTTAGTCTGTGGTCAAATGGAAAATAGATGAATATTGACACTTTTTGGCGAGCGCGAGGAGTGAAGTTGTGTAATTTGTTTTATTTTGTCTATTTAGTGTTTCTTCAGGTTTAAATGTGTAATAGCGGTGGTTTATTATCTGTTTAATATGTGTGAAAGTGCATAAATGTGGGAAAATGAAACAAAGCCTTTGGACGTAACTTCTCGGGATCCTCCAAAAAGTCCACTGAAAAAAATCTCAGTAAATGAATACCATTTTACTAAGATTATGTTTCATCCCATATTAAGTCATTTCATCTCAATTGATTAATATCTCAAATTAATCATCTTCATTTCATTTCGTTTCACTCTATATTATCATTTTTCATAAAAATAAGAATATAAATTAAAAATAAGACATGACTTAAAGGTCTCAGTAACCAGGTCATAAAATCATTTTAAAAAAAAGATTAATATTGTTTATCTTTAATATTATTTGTCTATAGTGTAGTTTTGGCGAAAGCTGTGAAGAAGTATAATAGTCTTTGACAATAGAATTATAATTTCAATTAATTCTAGTCGAATTTCGACTAGAATTAATTGTAATATAACTACCGAAATAATAATAATAACTACCGAAGGACCACTAGTCTAAATAAAACAATATAGGTAGAATTATCCTACATCTGTCGGGAAGCAATTCTACCTTTGGTTTTGAGGCGAAGCAACACCTTGATTGTAATCTAATGATACTTCGGCCTCGGGTTTATGGGATCGTCAAACACCGAAATACTGAAAAAAAATCCTGAACTTTCGAGTACCGTGCAGTGAAATATGCATAATAATAATTACATTTATTTACTCCACAATACAAATAACTTTTCAATTAATATGACATAAAAATTCAAATTCTAAACAATATTACAATATATTAATTATACTGACACAGTGAAGATAAAATTGCCGCAGCTTAGCTTTGTGACAGCTGAAACTATCGCTGTTATTCTGCCGCTGCCTGTAATTTTAATCTATAAACTAATCTAATCTATAAAATAATAAACTAAAGTACTAAAACTAAAATAATATAAAGTAATCTATAAAAAAAATGTGGAATAATATTATAACCCCCGGGAGACCCCTCACTGATGCGGCCCCTCGTGACACCGACGTGTCATGTTATTATTTGCTTACCGCGAACTGACGACGCGTCGCCCAGAGATGATTAAAGATTAAATTATCCTAACTTTTCAGAGATTTTCCCTTTAGAAGCTTATGAGATTTTATCGTTAGAATTTAAATTTATATTTGCTCAATGAATATTACCTTTACCATTGAATGTCCCATATTTATTGTCATTTGATTATTTTCCATGGCTCGAATACTTCACCTTCACCGTAGTCACGGTCGACTGTGGACTAGTCAGTAAAAGTAATAGATATATATATGTATATACATACATCTATATCTACTATTTGCGAAAATTGAAAAAAATAATACATATGCAATTTTTACACATACAATAAAATGTACACCGTAAGGTATCATTAAGATCTATCCGCTCTTTAAGCACTTCATTATAAAATGATAATTTTGATTTGATTAAAATATGTGCTGTTGTTTTGTATTAAAACATCAAAATCAAATAGTATAGGATAAAAGAAAAAGAGACGAGGAGAGTCCATAATCTGTTGTGTTAATTTTTTACAACAAAAACGACAAAAAATTTTGAGCGATTATCATAAATACTTTTATACAAGAAGATAAATTAAAACGATCACTTAGGGTAAAAAAGAGCGAGCCAATAAGAAAAAAAATAAAAAACTTAAAATGTTTCCACGCGTAAAAATGGCAAATTACAAAGTACGTTAATTACAAAAAATGGCTCGAAAACATTACTTGGCCTAGAGATTACTACTAAATACTCGAGGCATTATCAACATTGGATACAAAAGTTTTAGCAAAAATACTTAATCGCCTCGGATTTTGCTAAGCTAATAGGAGAAATAAAATCATCAGAAATGCAATTATACTTCAATTTGCAAGATATAAGTAGTACATAATCCCTTCTGCACTAATCTGTGAGTTTGTGAGTGAGTGAAACACTCGATACAGCGTGGTCACAACCGCGTCATAAGTCTCTTTAAGCATTCTCACAGTCGGGGTCGATGACGTCATTCTGCAGATTTCAGTATGCATTACGCTTGGTATCGTTCGACATCAATAAATGAGCGGCTTATTCGGATATATTGACAGTAGAAGCAACTACAACTAGTAGAAAACAGGGCTGGTAGTGCTATCTTATTACATTACGTAAGTTTTTCTCGTCTATGTTCAAAGTTCGAGGACTCCTTTAAAGTTACTTGAGATAAAAGAATTTTGACTCGTTGAAGAGAACAGATGCGCACTTTAAATAGGAATATCATAAGTTGATTGCTGAACACAAGAACGGGCCGACAGTTCTAAGTTTAATTAAATTTACCGCGAGATGTCGAGTTGAACTAGCCGAGTTAGCGAGATCCCCCTACAAAGCCCCTTTCAGTCTGTTCTTCAATTTATTTACTTTGAACAAGTTATTTGTAGAGCTGGATGCATTTCCCCGATTCAGTCTGTCGGGATAATTGGATTACGGCATCTACTCTGCGCGATAAGCTTTCGTTGCATTGTAGGAAATGCTTAACGACGGAGGGGAGATCCTCCATAGAGCGGGTGTAATTGCTCAGTAGACTGACGGTCCAGATGTTGTTGTTGGGAACTTGTATATGTATATGCAAGCTTATCTTAAAAATGTCGTAAGCGAGTTTCAAGTATCTGTCAAATATCTTGCGCATTTAATACAAACCTGCTTGACAGAATTCATCGGCAGCCGAATCGAAGTCCGGTTTCCAGCGGAGCACAGACGTCTTCAGGCTGCGAAATGAAAATACATTTAATTAGCTGTCAAATAAAGTAAACTTAAATAGTTGTTGGATGTCAATTACGGAAAAAGCCGTATTTTTTGTAGTCTGTATGATAGAGCATGTCTCCACCTAGTATGTATGTATGTATAGTTACAATGCTGCGAGTTACTCAGATGCCGACTTAATAGTTAATCAAACATAATTAAATAATAATCATCAAATAGCTACTTTTTCTATTAAGTGCCATTCACTAAAAGAGATTTTTTTTACTATAAAGATACGACTCTTCTCCTTTATTCCCGTCAAAGGAAACGATGATACCATTAGCAAATTTAATTTTAAATGGTTTGTTTTCAGCAGTTTCTTGACATTACAGGTCTAGGTTTAAATAACTATTTCGAATATATTGAATAATCCTTTACGCTGATTCGGCCGCATCAAAGGGAATATGACTTAAGATTATATTAAGGGAGCGCTCTCAGTCACTTTATTATTAAAACTAAGGCTATTTTTGTGTCAAAAAGCCTTCGAAACGAGGACCATCTTTGGTCAGAAATATCGATTTGCCTTTAAGAATTATGATCTTTATTATTGTCAATAAATTCAGTTTTAAAGGCTTTTCCACTACCTTTAAGGCAGTTTAGCTTACGGTTCAGAGACCAACGCGACCTAACGCCAGTACTCAAGGTAAAAATCGGAAGAATTAATAGAAGAAGTTAAGTATAGTTACAACGGCTGCCCCACCCTTCAAACGAAACGCATTACTGCTTCACGGCAGAAATAGGCAGGGCGGTGGTACCTACCCGCGCGGACTCACAATAGGCCCTACCACCAGTAATCAAGCAAATTATAATTTTGCGGGTTTCATTTTTATTGAACATTCGTCTTATCCCTTAGGCCATGACGACTTCTGTATTGTATATCAACTGCCCCACCCTTCAATACAGAAATAGGCAGGACGGTGGTACTTCCTAGTGCGACCTCACAATACCTCCTACCATCAGCGAAATACAACTTGTCATTCTAAAATCGTGTCCCAAAATGCAAGCTTTTTGATATGAGACAGAAAAAGATCTCGTTCCAAGCATTCTTTTATTTCAACGAATTCATGATTAAAGAATTGATGTGAATTATTTCATGTAAAATTCGGTGGTTTCGATAAATTAAAAGAATATTTATACACACATATGTCTACATATATATCAACATCTGACATCCTTCTAGTGAAGAGATTTTTATTATTATAATAAATAGAAAATTCTTGGGTTTTTATTATAACGTTCGAAATAAGTATGTTTTTATCAGCAATTTAATAAGTGGTATATTGTTTAAGCCGTTGAATTTTTATTAGTACATAGTATATTGTGAAGCGACGTGCGTTGTTAGTTCTGTGTGTGATTTTCAAAGATACGATAAATATTATGTGACAGTTGCTATTAAAAATTGACGATCTGAAAACGGTTTCCCTGGAATGCAAAATTGAAAACATTAAAATGATTTGAATTTTGAACTCGAATAATTAGGTACAAAGTCCGGCACCGCATCGTTTTGACTCTCCTGGCCTCTTCATTGCCTCCCCGCCTGTCAGCGGGGCCTGGTAACTGGTCTCTCCGCCCGTCAGAGGACACGTGATCGGTCAAAGGATCAAGTTAATCTCCTTTAATGAAGGTCTTTCAGGTCACGTAAATAATGTTACTTCGGCCCAAAATGTCAGAGAGATTATTACATTTTTTCAAATTTCAACTTACCCGTTTTATTATTTGGATCTAATAAAGAAAGAAAAGAAAAAAAAAATGTAAAAATGTGTATTTGTTACTGTATGGCGAGAATAGAGTTGGTTTTGGTTGAAATTTCCAACAAGGATAGTTTTTAGTCTTTTTTTTTTGTTTTAATCAACACATCCACCCAGGCAACGCCGGCTATATCTACGAGTACTACTCGTATAGTAAATACGACAGTGTTCGCTGACACGTGATTTTACATATGAACGGATCTACAAATTGACTAGCAGTGTATGCACCACATAAGAAGCTGATCATTCCGGGAAAATGCAACAAAAATCTATCGATCCAAATTATAAATATAACGCGAGCGAAACTGCGGAGTAAAAAAAAATTCTGATTCAATTTTCACTACTTTCCGTGCGCTCATGTTTGAGCAACATAATATATACTAATATATAAATCTACAGTGGTTTTTACGGATGTTCCGTTATAACTACTGAACCGTGCATCCGATTGACTTGAAACTTGGTATCCATGTAGAAAATACATGTACTTAATGGATAGGCTAATATTTATATAAGTGTTAGACTACCTAATAATAATGACAATAAATACTTAATAATGTTAATTTTAATTGCCCAGCGAAGCGGGCGAGTACGGCTTGTAATATATGAAATAGTGTTATATCGATATTACACGGTATTAATTTTTTTAAATCAATCTAAAAGTGTTTTATAATCCGGAGAAAATTATATACGACGAGCGAATTCTTACTATCTATTAATAGCTAGATAGCTTCAAAATGGAACTGCTTTTCTAAGTTGGTCCCTCTACTAATTCCTCTTCTAACTTTTCAATCAAATCAAACGGGGTTGGTGTCAGGCAGCAGGCTAGCCATAAAACTGTAATCAAATAACGATAAGGCTCTACATGCAAGGATGAAGGAAAAGAAAATAAAGATCATGGCGTCTGCCTCTCCACTAAAATATCGTTGACTCAATGAAATTTAAAAGTACACATCTGTTATTTACCCGTTATAAGTTGTGGCGATTTTTTATATACGACGAATATATAACGATATAGCACGAAAGGGACTTAAGTCGAAAATACCTACAAAAAGACAGCAAACTGAATTTGCACTAACATAAGGTGGAAGTTTTTTTTCTCCCTAAAATAATATAAGATTTTTGGATTTGGTTGTATGTTTACTTATGCACTAATAAAATGTGTTTTTTAAATGTCTGAAAAAATAGAAACTAATCGGCTACTAGTATTTTTAGAAGGTACCCACTTTTTAAAAATAAGTTTATTAATAATAGATAGATTATATAGCATACAATATTTGTTGAGGTAATTATCAAGAACGGAAATAGGAGAATACTTTATGTTTAGATTAAATGTAATGCATTTACACGACCAACAGTAACTTGTTCGTGACATAAGACAGACTAAATAGTTTCAAGAAAGATGAGAAGTGATCACACAATATCATTGAATTAGGCAGACTATGAAGTTTTGTTATTATATACTATTTACGGATATATCTTAGCGTCACCAATTCTTTTTTTGTTTGAAGTTATCTATATATATAAAAATGAATTGCGGTTCGTTAGTCCCGCTAAAACTCGAGAACGGTTGGACCGATTTGGCTAATTTTGGTCTTGAATTATTTATGGAAGTCCAGAGAAGGTTTAAAAGGTAGATAAAGGTATGAAAATGTTCGGAATTAAATAAAAATAACAATTTTGTTTTTCCTTTGATGTGTCCCCCGTCGGACGGATTCCTTTTGTTTGTTTTAAGTTTATTTTATACAAAAGTATAGGTCTTTTATTTGTCCATTGAGGCACTACGAAGTCTGCCGGGTCAGCTAGTTTTTAATAAAATTTGTGGGAAACTAAAACAATATTGTGCGCATAGTAAAGTGTGACGGCATTTCGTTTTGAACTTGGATTTTTAAACATGCTTAACTTGCAGCATAAGCCGCCCAGATTATCAGCTAGATCAACGGAAAACACGGATAATAGAAACGGCGTTGTATCGAGTCGAGGCGAATTGCAACATTTTACTTGGGTAACTATTATACCAGGGCCTTCCTTCGGTTTAGGTTTATAGACAGCCAACCGACAGCAGTAGTAATTGAATTTTTCCATCTAACTTTTAACGTATGCACTCTTCCGTGAGCTTTGGCTCGACGTGTTCAACTCGGCTTCCTTTGACATGTGTCGGCTTTGTTTACTTGATCTCTGTTACTGGCGTGCCGGCTTCGTATGGGTTTTATTGATATTGAAACCAATTTGTGGAAGTTTTCGCGCATTTAATACAAACAATCGCAGACCACGAAACTGCGACATTAAAGCATAAAATGTAAAATTTTTGGATCCTAATAAATTATAAATCCTTAATCCACAGATTATTTTTTATTGGTGCATTTGTGGAATTCCGTTCGGGGCCTAATTAGCGAGAGTACCCGCAGCGAACACAACCTTACTTTAAGAGATAAACCCACACCAAGTATGAGTTTAAACAAGAAACGCTATTTTTGACAAAACTAGTCAGGATGGCGGAATCAAAATTTCAGTACCCACATTATAGTTGGCCAGAGTTCATCTTATGGTGCTTTTAGACCCCTCAAGTCACCATTTTCGTAAAGCGAATTAGCCCATAGACACAGCCCACTGAGATCTTCTCAGTGGGTCACGATTCCGATACGGTGGTAGATTCTACGAAGTACTGCTCTTGCTAGGGTCAGTGTTAGCAACACACCCGGTTTGAGCCCCTTGAGCTCACCTACACGTCTGGACGTAGCTGGAATACTCCCTTAGGCTACCAGTGAATAGGTAGGGAATAAATAAAAACTTATCTCATGACAGGATTCGAATTTTAATTCGCCTCTCATGCATGTCTTTGAAGCAAAATGCAGATGCCATGTAAAACAGAGAAGCCACTTCAAACGCATCCATGGCATTAACAATGCTAATACTGTTTATTTTGTTGTTTATCTCGAGCTTGCCGAAGCGCCCGTCAAGTGAAACACGACACAGCGCAGTAAACACAGCAGGAACGTCAGCTTTGTACACAGCAGTGTCATCGATGGGCAATGAACGGAAATTTTGTTACTAGGTACTAAATAAATTTTTTTCTACCTATTGCTAGTTACTCCAAGGAGTTATGCCCAAATTTACCGAGCGTATAAGCGAGCGCACGGGACTTACCCTGGGAGACTTTGTTAATAGCAAAAGCCTTTCGTTAAGAAGCATTTTTGTTGGGACTATGATTTTTATATGTTTTTTATTACATAGATGGGTGGACGAGCTCACAGCCCATAGACATCTACAACGTAAATGCCGCCACCCACCTTAAGATATGAGTTCTAAGGAATCTGTATAGTTACAACGGCTGCCCCACCCTTCAAACCGAAATGCATTACTGCTTCACGGCAGAAATAGGCAGCGCGGTGGTTCCTACCCGTGCGGAATCACAAGATGTCCTATGACTAGTAATTACGCAAATTTAACTTTACGGGTATGATTTTTATTACACGATGTCATTTGTTCACTGTGGAAATCAATTTGAACATTTGTCAAGTAGGTATTTCATTAGAAAAATTGGTACCCGCCTGCGGGATTCGAACACCGTTGCATCGCTCGACACGAATGCACCGGACGTTTTATCCTTTAAGCCACGATAACTTCAAACGTTCCTCCTTTCTTTCCTGTCCTCTGCGCAGTGTATAGTGACATTGACAGTGGAGCCAGTATCGTCTTAATATGATCGGACCAGCACATGGGACTACGCTCCCTTGTCTTCTTTCCTTCCACTTTGTCGGTGATGCGTAGTCTTTCTAGATTGTCATCCTTTTTCTTCTACCATTACCAGTGCTTGGCTGAATCTACCACCGGATCGAAAACGCGACCCACTGAGAAGATCCGGCGAGAAACTCAGCGGGTTTAAATCCTTCGTAGTTTTATTTTAATCGCGTAAATTAGCAGGTAGTATTTGGAATTAGACTTCTCCGGCCTGGCCTTGACGGGAGACGAAATCCAGAACGTGATAGCCTTAATCAGTGTACGCGAATATGAAGGTGTACAGGTTTCGTCATCCTCGTGTTACAGCAGCATCCCGTGTGATTCTTCATCAAAAGAGGAAAGAGCCTCGATATTTTATGTTGCTGATGATTTGATCCTCGAATCCAATGGGCTTACTTTTCAAGGTTTGAGGGTTGGCAGCCAGCAGCTAAGAAGGTTACGTTTAAATAGTCACTCCTTTCTCTACCACTGGAGGGCAGCAGAGGAGTATGTTTAACAAATCAAAGAGACGTAAATTTAGCGATAGATTCATTTTTATTGTATTTTTTCTATAAATGTATATTGCGGTTAGTGTTTAACATCATGTTAATTAGTGTGAACCGCATTAGAAAACAGTTAACAATGCCCGTTCAATTACCATGAGCAAGTGTATGTCCACATAAAGTAAAGTGAAACATAAATTCGTCTGTATTCGATTACAAAAAAGTGTACATTTTGTTGAAGCGCAAGTTTTTAATGATTCAAATCACTGCGCTTTTTTTTTTTTTTGTAATAAGGAGTTCTGTTTTTTTAATCACAATTTATTATTTCAATGACAATTTAATTGTAAAATAATAATGTAAAAATATAAAAATATTAATTGTAAAACATAATATGAAAATAGCAATAAAAATAAAATTCGCAAACAAAAATATATTTTATTTTATTAAATATAAAATAAAAAAGGGTATCAATCAAAATATCAATAATAACTTATAACTAGCACAGAGCGCATAAGCGTATTTATTATTAAAACAAACATAAACTAATAAAGGCAAAGTAAAAAATCTGAAAAATTCGCAAAAGGAAATTATGTAACAAAAAAAACTAAAAAGAACAAAACAAAAAAGTGTCTAATAATTTATCTAAATAATAGGCCAAAATAATAGCATAAACTTTCAATTAATAGTAAAATAGAGTAAAATAATTTAAAAACTAAAAGTTATATTATATGCTCTACAAAGCGAGGCTGTATGACTATAAACACTGTTGACATTTTTTATCTACTCACTATTTCTGAGCTGTTTTGATGTGTTCTAAAGCTTCTTCAATTTTCGTCGACATCGTAACCGTGAAGAATCACAACCTGAGGGGCGCAAGACACACGACTGATTCCGGCAGTAACGAGATTCAACTAAACACTAATAAATCATGAAAAATCGATAGGAATACACGGAGACAACACAAGCAAACATCTCTCTCGTACGTGTGACTGCCGCATGACAGTAAACGTCACAAACGTCAGAATATTGGCTTTGACATTTGAGTGTTGCGCAGAACACTCACCTTTCTACCAAATGGTAGTATTTTTAATAAAATATATTTTTAAACAAAGTCTTTTGAATAATTAATTCATGTCCCGCTCTAAAATTATTAAAAAGAATAGCAACAAATAAACGTTTCACATTAAACAACTCCGAGCAATTTTATGAAAATCGTAAATATGTTTAAACAGTATAAGAATAAGTATAAATATCAAGCATGTTAAATGGATAGAGTGACTTCGACCAAGAATTGAGCCCATGGAATATGGGCCACCTTAATATAACACTTAACAAAACATACAATAATATAACACAAATTAAAACACATAGGTATTTTAGCAGATTTTAGCTTAGGCTTTGTATACCATACCCTTCCATAAGGGTATGCCATACCCTTAGGCTTTGTAGGTACTTATTAACTCCATGGGCTATCGCTTTAACATTAAAATTTAGAGTTTATGTGTATAATCTACGATTTAGAGTACACTAATATTTTACATTGAGAATATTAGAAAGAGGCTAGTATGTACCCAGTAGACATTGTTTAGCTATGCCCCCGGTATTATTATTTACTGCTATCCATGAACGATACTGTCGTGTTTGCTGGAAAGCAAAAAACATTTTTTTGTTTATTTTGTTTAGATGGTATTGTTTCCATTTTAAAAATATTTTTTTTATTTTTTATTGTAGGACAATACAAGTTATTATGGACGTATTATTTGCTGTGCTCCTGATATTTGCTGGTCACCTTCATAAGTTACCATGGCAAATGACGCTCAGTTGACTAAGCTATGGGGTAGATCCTTGAAAACAACCAAAAAAAAATACATAAAAATATTTATAATAAATAATTGAAATAAATCTAGTATGTAAGTGAAGTAAGCAAAATTATGATATATGTTTCATTTCCTTTTTTATTAATTGCCCTTGTAGGCAGACAAGCATACGGTTCACCTGATGGTAAGGGTCCTCAAGACCAAGCCGTTAAAAATAAAATAAAATGAAATGAAATGAAATGACGTGTGGCGCTTGGCGACTGCCGCGGTAAAGCTATTGCATAACAGTTTTTATCAACTTATGCAATTATAAATCGACAATAATAATTTAATAATAAAACAACAATTAAATAAGATCCGGCGAGAAACTCAGTGGGCTAACTTGAATGAAACAATGAATCTGCTACATGGTGAGTATTCCATTTCGACCGCGCACTCACTAGAGGGCGCTACATGGGATAGAGATACGTCTTTGGATGCTGGTTCTAACTCTCATTCACCCAGAATCAATGATTTAGCTAGTTTATTTTTAATGCCACTCCAATCACTGAATGAGTATTAGGAGTAGTAATAAAATTCTTCGACTAAGCGATAGAAAATGGCACTCCCAACGCATTGTAATGTGATATAACTTTCTATTTTATAATTCCGTTTCTCGCCGATAGATGGCGCTTGACGAAAAACTGAATCGCGCTATTGTTGTGTTACCCACATAAATCGGTGTTTAAACTTCTTACTTTAAACACTACACAAGCGCACCGTGTGAATGTGTTGAACGTGAGCAACATAGTAGGCGTAGTAAGGGGTGGAAGGTTATTTTCGTTACGGAATTTCATGATTCCGCTCTCAAGCCGCCCTCAAGGCCAGCGATAAAATCTATGCAATAGCTTAAAATAAAATAAAGATTCATTGTCTCTTAAGTGCTCAAGCTTTAACAAGATGCACTGTATTTTCCAAAATAAATTTAGCCGACTTAGAATGTTGATTATTTTTGAGTTCCTGAATTAAATAAATAGCAAAATTTTTAATAGCAATCATACAAATATTTATATTGAGGTGCAAACAGGATTACATGCTATTTAAATAACAGGATAAAAGCTTGTTGGTTAACATTCCATTTCTGGTGGAAGCTGATATTCACGTTGCAATCTCTATGGACTCCAATAACCACTAACAATTTCAGGTGCGTTTTTCTACCTATCAACAACAATAAAACAAGTAATATCCAAACAAATGACACACCAAAGAAGTAAAATACATAAAAATAATACTCATCAATTTAACAACCAAACAAATACAGCTCAATCGTTATTACTATCAAAAACCCCACAAACATTACAGTTAATTTTACGTTAGGGGTTACCAAGCAGGTGTACGTATGGCGAAGATGGTAGAAATCTTATTATTAAAAGTGGTACGCATGTAACACTTCGTGGGAATGCGCGCGCAACGATCCCCCGCCGCGTGCTTGTAAATTGGCGCGAGCGGGGGTTGAATTTAGAGGGGCGATTTGAAAAGAGTCCAAGGTGCTACATCGTAACGGTTCTTTCCTGCCAACCTATAACTCGATTATATTTGTAAATTATTTAAAAAAAATTAAACATTCGTTTTTACGATAATATTAAAAATCCTGATCTTATATTCCAAGTTACATCACGCAGTGCTGCGTATGAAAATGAGATTAATTTCCATTTAAAAATACACATGATTCAAAAAGTTGGGTTTGTAGAACTTATTTTCGAATGAAAGCATGGCTCAAAACAGAGAGAGAGGACCGCAAAAAACATCTTAATACGCTTGAAAATTCATTATAACGTTTTATTGGCAACGCACTAAGTTCGTTGCTAGTCGAGGACTTTTGTCCGCATCGAGGATACTGGTTCTCTTATTGAACAACACAACTCTGGTGATCAAACCTCTTGTGAGCGAAGTTGTATCAAAATTCTAATTCTCTTTTTTAAGCATTAATCTTAGGGTGAATTGTAAACCTTATTGTATTATAGTAGAGCATAAAGTTGTGTATATCAATATTTCATTGTCTCTCTGTTAATATAACGTGAAATAATTCGAATCACTAAGACAAAGGTCTAGAACTTTGATTATTGTTCTTCATACTGTTTTCGTAATAAATTTCACATTGACTTGATATTTTTCATAGATTCTTAACAATGTTTATCGTTCTAGAATGCTGCCCGGTTATTTGAGTTTTAGACACCGATAATAATGTATTCATTCGTAAGAAAATTGCGTAATATAATATTTTAAATATTTCTAAAGCTGAAATATTTTTTGTGTAAGTATTTTCCTTGTGGCATTCTGGGCTGTGTCACTTATAATTAGCCCAAAGCAAATACATGACACGGCAAAATGGGTTAGAATTAGATCTCAAGTAACCCGAAATTTAATAAAAAATGAAACCGACTTCATGTTGGTAAATGTGCAACGAGATATCGACTAGAGATTTTAATTGAATCTTAAATTAGTATTACATTTAGATTTAATTATGCGTTACTCTGTAAACACAATCGAAATGATTTAAAACTAGTTTGATATAAGTAATACAATAACTATTTTAAAATATTGAGTTACATTATATTCCATTTTTACTCTATAAACTTTTTCGAATGAATAGCTGTTATACCTAAATTATTGAAGATTATTAACATTAAGATCTATTTGCAAATCATGTTTAGATGGCGCATGTGAAACCGCGCCACCCACCTAGTCAATATTACACCTAGCCTAGCAAAGAGGTGTCATGGTAATAGCGATTATAGGGAACATTACGACAAATATTGGCTAACTTTGTTTGTTTATCTGCTGCTTCGACTATTTTCCCACGACATCGGCGATTTATCTAAAAAAAATCTTGATAACGCGGTAAGTGCAAAATTGCTATTTATTTCTTTAAATATTTTTTTTTGTTTTTTCGTTTACATTATTACCAAAAAATATTTCCACTCGGCTGTTTTTTTTATAGCTTAGATGGGTGGACGAGCTCACAGCCCACCTGATATTAAGTGGTTACTGGAGCCCATAGACATCTACAACGTAAATGCGCCACCCACCTTGAGATATAAACTCTAAGGTATAGTTACAGCGGCTGCCCGCACCCTTCAAACCGAAACGCATTACTGCTTCACGGCATAAATGGACAAAGTGGTGGTACCTACCCGCGCGGACTCACAAGAGATCCTACCACCAGCTTGCGTCGTGTTTCGCGTTTCGTGTTCCGTGTTTCGCGTCGGCCCGAACGATCTTACTGAGGAAATACGAGTATCTTGATATTTTCGTTTGTGATAATACGATTTGACGGAAGTGGCTACGCGTAAGTATATCGCGATGAATGATCATATAAACATTCTCTTTTGTGTTTATTATTTAATATTTTTGTTTATATGAATATAGAAGCTTATACTGCTCGTTAATACAGCTCAATGAGATAACAACGCAGCTTCCGCCGCCTCCATATGTGACAACACAAGTTCGCAGTCTTCATTGCAACGAAACGTCCATTTCAATATTCATTTTGAAACAATTGGATTAAAGAAGAAGTACAAATAATGGTAAATAAATTTAATACACCTGTACCAAACTACGCGGTCAGGTGGCGTGTCAATTCAACAATTCTCCTTTGTGGGTTGCGATTCCAATCCGTTGATAGATTCAGTGAGGCACTGCTTTTGCTAGGGCAGATGTTAACAAACTGTTTCGGGCTAAGCCTCGTGTCCTTGTCCACAACTCGAGGTGAAGAATAGCTCCCAGAGGGTACTTATAGGTAGCCATAAACAAAACTTGACCCAGTGCGTATCATTGCGCGATTTCTCAGTCCAGTAGTTTGCATAGACACAGCCTAGATGCCACTGCTAAACTAAGCGTTATAACTTAAGACCGTCAAATTAACTTGATTGACTTGACAATTGTCCGGACCCAGCTCTAACAAAACCGGTCAAAATATAGAAGCAAATGTTCGTACACAAGTAATGAACCGTGCATTCGATTGACTTGAAACTTGATGTCCATGTAGAAAATACATGTACTTAATGGATAGACTAATATTTATATGAGTGTTGGACTCCCTACACCAGTTGCGGGGGCGTTAATGATGAGAATCTTTGTGGGGGTGAGAAATAATAATGTTATACATTTTTATAATAATGTTAATTTTAAATG